GTCTCCAGCATACATGTGCATGTACATGCATATATACTCTCTCAATCCCTCTCTCTCTCTCTCTACCCCCCTCACAGACACACACACACACACACACACACACACACACACACACAAGTTCCATTCTGTTAATCTCCCATATTTTAAATTACAGTTGCAAGATAATATTTCTTGCTCACTAAAATAAGTTATTTAAAAAATCTTAGGGTTGGACTGGGAAGGTGGCTGCGGTCCTGTGACATCAGAAATGCTGGGATAGAGGAAGACTTCAGTTCTGATACTGGATATAGCCATGCCACGTCTTTGCCTCCGTTTAACCAAGATCTTCTTGTGAAACCCTGAAGGGAAAGATTTACTGACTGGTTGAGTCACTCAAGTGATAGGACATCTGCCCAGCCAGCACCAGGCCCCACAAGTTCAAACCCAGTACCATCAAGAAGAAAAACTTCCAAAAATTAAATACCTTCTGACTATATATACATCATATTTTCTTTTTTTGGGGGGGTGGGGTCCGGTCATGAGGCCTGAACTCAGCTCTTCAGCTCAAGGCTAGCGCTCTACCGCTTGAGCCAAAGCGCCATTTCCGGCTTTTTCTGTTTATGTGGTGCTGAGGAATCGAACCCAGGGCCTCAGGCATGCAAGGCAAGCGCTCTACCACTGAGCCACCTTCCCAGCCCTATACATCATATTTTCATTATCCACTGATGAGTGGATAGACAATAAAGCCTCTATTTCTCGACCATTGTGAATAAACAAGGAAGTGCAGATAGCTCTTCAACATATTGGTTCCATTTCTTTTGGTTATATATTTCTTAGAGTTCTATTTTAAGAAATCTCTATAATCTTTTTCGCATTGGCTGTACTCATTCACATTCCCACCTCCTGAGTAGCTAGGACTGTAGGCACAAGCCACTGATGCCCAGATCTCATTGCTTAAACACAGCTCCTTCAACTGGATTTGCTGTCCAGCTAGCAGGACGTCTGTAGTGAAGTAGCCCTGGTGCAGAATCAAAATAATGATGTTTTTCAAAATTTACTATTAATTTCAAGACAGTGACAGTAGACTGTTAAACGAAACATAGGGATCTAAGCATGTGACAGCAAAAACATCATAGTAGGCATATAAAGCCATCTCCCTGAGCTGCAAGTTGGTCCTTTATTAGAAATACAGGTATTCAAGGTTCAGTACCATATTATTGAAAAACTAATAAAATTGGACCACAGTCAAATTCGGATTCGATTTGTATCTGGAAATCCACTGTATTTAATAGCACAGGTACACATATTCTATTCTGTTGCTGAAACTCCATCAACAGTGGAATAGTTAAATTCTCTAAATGAACAAGTGTCAGCCACTTGGAAGATCATTAGAAACCCCTCCCCCACCCCAGCCCTAAATTTTAGAACCCTGGAACTTATCCAGAGGATTGGGTCCTATAGACCATTCCTCCAGAACCTTCCATATTCCTATTAGCTATTTTAGTAACTGAATTTCTGTAAAAGTCATGAACACTAAAAGCCATGTGCACAATTAATGAGATGTTTCACCCCCATAAATGAAGTATTTGATCCGTTTAAGCACTTAAGCCAAAAAACAGGCCTCGTGGTGATTTTATCAAGCACTGCGGCTGGCTTTCTCATCACCCCATGCCGCCACCGACCTGGTGGTCATGGAGAGCCAACAGCTAGTGTTTCATGCCAGGTGGTGGGGCTCACGCCTGTAATCCTAGTTACTCAGGAGGCTGAGATCTGAGGATCACGGTTCAAAGCCAGCCTGGGCAGAAAAATCTCTGTGAGACTCTTTATCTCCAATTAACCACTCAAAGTAGAGCACAAAAGCTCAGGGTAGCACCCAGGCCCTGAGTTCAAGCTGCACACCGCGCGCGTGCGCGCACACACACACACACACACACACACTCACACACACACACGTTTCTTTCACTAGCCTTGTACAGGTTACTTGTAAGATTCCGGCTTTTATATAAAATCCTTGTTTATAAAAAACTTTGTGGTATGGTAAGCTGGAGATAGTTTTTATGGTTTTGTTAGAATGTGGGCCTTTTAGAGTATAGGTTTCAATGGTGATTTTTTTTGTGGGGCCTGAACTCTGGGCCTGGGCGCTGTCCCTCAGCTCTTCAGCTCAAGGCTAGCGCTCTACCACTTGAGCCACAGCGCCACTTCTGGCTTCTTTTTGCTTATGTGTGCTGAAGAATCGAACCCAGGGCTTCATGCATGCAAGGCAAGCGCTCTACCACTGAGCCACCTTCCCAGCCCCCAATGGTGATTTTTTTTTTAAGGCTAGATTCTAGTTAATTGATCAGTACCTTAAAATATTTAATCTTTCAGAAGGGAAAGGTGCTTGAAATATGTTGGAGAAAAACACAGAATAAAATCATGAACTGTGACACAACCCTGTTTTTTCCACTGGCTAGGATATAATACCAAGTAGGACTATAAACTTGAAGAATGGTAACAGGGTTGTTTGTGTGGTGGTCTTTCCCTGTGTACAGCCCAGGGGACTACAGGTAAAAGTGGTGTTCTCTTAAAAAGGAAAGGCAGTCAAAGAACTAGAAAACAAAATCTTGACTCAACTAACTTGTTGAAATGCTCTGGGAAGTTTCAAGGTGACTTCACGGGGTTCTCCACCACAGGCCAACTATATAGTTATAGAAGTGTTACTACTAATCCTTTCACAGTCCAGGAGTCTGGGTTATGGTTGAGCTTTTGAAAGATACAGGTAACGGGGCTGTGTCTCTGATCAGATAATGTTGGCAGTGTGGAGCTGGAACAGTTCCCTCGGGTGCCCAGTGGGGCCTGCCCAGACAGGGAGGTTGCTTTTCTAGAGCAGATAAGGTTTAAAGTTTGCCCCAACAGGCTTCTGTGGTGTTACACTTTGAAGCAGAGTCCTCAGGTTTAGTTGGGCATCTCTCCCTTTCCTGTTTATCATATTTAAGTAGCACCTGATACTTTGTTTTCACTGTTTTTCTTTAAACCCACCCACTGCTCTCCATGAAGGCATTTATTTCCCTCCCAGAAATCATAATGCAGTAGTGGGTGGGGATGGGAGGGAAAACCTTGGGAGAGCAAGGGAAGGGGCGACATTGTCCAAAAAGAAATGTCCTCATTACCTGACTTACGTAACTGTAAGCGTTCTGTACACTACCTTTACATAACGGTTAAGTAAAAGAAAAAAACACCTGTGGTGAGGTAGGGTGCATTTCCCATGTACCTAAAGAACATGCCACTTAACAAATGTTGCAGGGGCTGGGAAGGTGGCTCAGTGGTAGAGCGCTTGCCTTGCATGCCTGAGGCCCTGGGTTCGATTCCTCAGCACCACATAAGCAAAAAGAAAAAAGCCGGAAGTGGCGCTGTGGCTCAAGTGGTAGAGCGCTAGCCTTGAGCTGATGAGCTGAGGGACAGTGTCCAGGCCCAGAGTTCAGGTCCCACGACCGGACCAAAAAAAAAAAAAAAAACAAATGTTGCAATAAATGGATATGAAAAATGAAATAAGTGTATAAAAGCAAGAATGCCTGAACTATGCCGGCATTTAACATTAGAGTGTTAGCTGCTTCACTTCGTACACTAGATCTCATGCTAGTGGCAGGAAGTGAAGCTGGCAGTGCAAGAAGCAATGCAAACTATATTCCCGAGATGCCCAGACCTGACACAGTCCCAAGGGTCATGAATGGGAAGTGGGCTAGCAGAGTGTGTGGAGGTTGTGGGAGCAAGGTTTGGAGGTAACAGGCAAAGAACCCGTGTGTGCACAGGCCCGTAGACACAAACTTTATTATAAGTGACACCTTCTAGGTCCATAAAATAGAAATGTATCTGTTGAGAAACCCAGTTTCAGGTAAGGGTATTGTTGCCATTTCCCCGTTGAGAAATGCCTACTTACAAGCGAGGCACAGCTGCCATTCCCTGCCATTGCCTTCTGTTACTTTCCGTTAAACAGTGTCACTAGACCTCTGCTATTCATTTATCCTCACACAATTTGCTGCTGTGGAGCAGTTTCTAGAGGCTTTTTTCTTCTTTCTTTTTTATAAAAAAGATCTTGTTTTGTAGCCGAAGTTGGTCTCGAATTCAAGCTTCCCCCGTGGTGGGATTACAGCTATCACACCTGGCCTGGGAAATATTTGAGAAAAACAAACAGGAGTGGGAAACTGACTGTCTATAAGCACAGAGATTTTATCAGAATGAGCTGTGCTGTCAGAGCCACTTCACACGGAAACGCCTTCTCACGACTGACCTGAAGTCAGACCCATTTACTTGAACTGTGACTGTAGAGGCCTAGTGAAGGTTTTCCATTTTATGTGCACTAATTTAAGTGTGGGCATTTCCCATGTTGGCTGACAGAAGTTAAATATTGAGTTTCAATTATACTTGGAAATGTCTTTTACAAGGCTAACTTCTTATTAATACTATTAAATAAGGACTTAGACACAACACTGAACAAAAGCCAGATATGAACCTTTTTTAAGATTACTGGACCTCGAACCTAACCATGTTTTTCAGTTTTTTTAAAAAATTTATCAAAAAGGTGATACACAGAGGGATTGCGATTACAATACAAGTCGGGTACTGAGTGCGTTTGCTTTGCTACAGTGTCTTCTGTTCCCTCGCTCCCCCCCAGTCCCTCCCTCCTGTCTCCACCCGGAGTTGTGTAGTTCCCGGTGGCCGGTGCCAGCGCGTGAGCGCCATGCTGCACTCTTCCCTCGAGCTCCGCACCCTGACCAGGGTTCTAAGCGTACTGCTAACAGCTCTGCTCTATGTTTCTTTCTCTTTTAGATACAGCTCATGAGACACCCACAAAGCAAAGTGTCACACTGCAAAGTATTTCTAAAACGGAACTTCCAAGTAAAAGTGTAGTGAGTCTCTGTGTTATCTCCTTGGGAGAGGAGGGGGAGCTTTGATTCTTATTCCAGCAGCCAGATTCCTTACCAGCCTCCTGCCCTGTGACAAGCGGACACACAGCCAATGAAGATGGTGTGCTTGTCTTTCAGGTTCAATATTTCTTCAAGATCTTGGATAATTAGCGGCGCAAAAAGCAAAGAAGCCACAGACCGGCGCACGTAGACAACAGCGGGTGAGGAGCGTGTTCATTCTTTTATTGTCCATTGTTTCAACAAGAGCACTGTACTCCTGGCAACTACTACATATGTTAGAACATGGATCTGCACTGTAGACAACAGTTAACACCAGTCTATGGGGTACTGCATTGCTTTTTATAAAGTTCAAAATAAAGATTTATTTTCAAACAAGTGACTTTGGTTTATTTCATACATTACACTTTTTCTTGCAGAAAAAAATAAAATTGTACAACTGCATAAATATAAAATTCTTCCACCATGAAAATGGTTAAAACATTCATAAAGACACAGCACCAGCATGTGATGCCTCAGAGAAAGGAAGAAAGGAAAAGAAAATGTACAAAGCAAATTAATTATCCCGTCACTAGCCAAGGTGATGGGGAAATCCCAATCTCAGACCTAGCTTCAGAATGCAGTGGCGGACAAGCAAGGAGATGGCAGCACAGCATTCAGTGCAAAGCACGACACAACCCATCACCTTTCTGTGTTTTTCTGTAGTGTCACTTAAAATTTTAAGGGCAGTTCCCCCATGACAGCCCACCCCCTCCCCAGCCCCAGGAAAAAAGAAAAATAAAGACCTAACACCACAGGTAAAGACTACGGAGTGTGTTAAAAATGCTCATTGATGGGCCATTATCTCTGAAAAAGTCAAACCAAAAACAAAACAAAACAAAAAGGACCATGCCAGTTTTATTCCCATTGAATATTTACACCTTGGACAGCAAACCTTGCTCACATAAAGTAGAAAACAGATATGATAAAACATGGCTTGAAAAATGACCGGAGTATGCACCTAGAGTACTGTACACTAAATAAAATACACAAGGCAGCAATACTTAGGGGCCAGAAACACTGCTTACTACAAGTCAGTTATGGAATCATAATTTACAGTAAAAATGGGCACGTCCCAAGGCTCAATTTTTATTTTTCTTTTGTCATTTACAGTAGAATAAATATTTTGTTGCTATTGCTACACTTTAAATTTACATTCTAACCTATTAACTGCAGAAAGCGTGTGTAAAGCGCGTGGATTAAGTGTGGGTCCCATATGTTCGACACTTTGTTCAAGACTAGTAGGTTTCTGTATCTCTTTAACTTATTAAATGGCTAGTGGGAAAGGTCTGTGCTTGTGATCAGCTCTTAACCTCGATTTTTACATCAAAGCGTCCCTGGAAGCGGTCTTTCTCACTGTACCCGATGTTCTCACCATAGGCCTTACACTCAATGCGGACCTCTGTGTCCAGGGTGAGGTTGGTGAACTGCACGGCCAGCAGGGGCTGCAGGTACTTGGGCTGCAGGAGTTTGCCATAGTAGGGGTAGTACTGCAGAGGAAAGCCAGCATAGCCACCCAGTCCAAAATATTCAATGTTGCCCACTTTCTCCTTGTCTTCATCGCGCTAAAACAGAGAGTGAAATGCAGTTTTAGTGGGTCACGGCACGGCTCACAGTGTGCGTTCTCGGGAGCAGGGGAATATCAAGCAAGGGAAGATCTGGGGGTGGGTGTCTGCCACTGCCGAAAGACCAGCTACCCAGTCTAACCCACAACCGCTGTCATAGAAGGAGAGGATTCTCTCTGTCCAAGTTGGGAAACCTAGGCAAAGACAGGTAAGCATTTCTCTAAGCCAGCACCGCCTCCTAGGAACGAGGCCATCACTGAGAGCAACTCCCAGTGAGGCCCAGTGGGTATGATTTCCAATGAATAGGTTTATCTGTTCGCCTCCCATGTCTTATGCCCATGTCCCTTTTTGGTACCAGCGTCAAACAGCACTGTTTGGGATTCTCTTTTAATAGCCTTCTATCTTAATAATTGGAGTACCTGGTTTTAGGTCTAGCGCGGGAAGATGTGTCAATTCTTACCTCAATCTCACTATTTTTAAAAGAGAAACCCCCTAACACATCTTAGGTGACATTACTCATTAAAACACAAAATCAACCTTAAATACTAGCTAGCTCACCTTTCGGGTCTATAAACCATCATGTTGATGGATTATATTCAGATAATGAGTTTCTTATGTCAACGGAGAAAGCAACATGCAGCTTTATTCTCACGAGATCTCTCCGTCCTTTCAAGAAGTTTTACCTGGTATGACTTGGTGCAATGCGACTGGCTTCTGAAAGCAGTGTTCATGTGTCATACATGAAAAATTTAACCTGAGGGAAGCTCGTTCACTCCTCCTCCTCCTCCTCCACTCTCCAACCCAACCTCAATAACCCCAAATGTGTCTTTACCTTGCCAGTGCACTGAACAGGCAGGACGTTTGGATTGTACTTCATCACTGGGTAATTCTCCAAAGACTCATTCTTAGGAGGCTAGAAATAAAACCCACATTGGTCAGTAAGATGGAAATAAACATTTTGTAGTTTCTGAAAAGTGAAACTTGCTTATGGCCCAAACAAACACTGGTCATGCTAAATGAACAGAAATAATAAAAACACCTCAAGAGTGTAAAATGAGTGACTCTTCTAGCCAATCTAGGAAAAGTCCGTGAGTTTGTTGAAAATAAGTGTCCAGGTTTTGTTAGCACTACACTTAAGCTGCTATGGAGGCCAGAACTAAATGTTAATCAAAAAGACACAAGCAAGGAGTGATTGTGAAGATTATTTACTTGAGAAGACTGACATTTCTGTTTTACAAACTTAAGCCATGAATGAATAATACCATTTATTTTTTTTTTTCTCAAGAATGACTTCTTCAAATGGGCTTTCTTTTTTTTCTTCAGTATCATCCAGGAATTGAGAGGAAAGAATATTGACATCTAAGGATGATTTCTGTGGGGAGCTCTCATATATACCAGCAAGGAAAGGTGGCACTGCCTCAGGGTACAGTGTGAAAATTACTGCTATCTATCATAAAATACAGAGGCTTCTCTCTTCCATTCTTGGGTTCAAATCAACCTCAGAAGTATGATGAATGTTTAATGTTGGATAATCTATTCTCAGACAATGGGGAAACAGGTATACCAAGTGAGATGCTGATAAAAGCAATTCCAGTAACAAAGTAGTTAGAATTTGAGTGAGAGTGCTAATTAGGAGCGGAAATGGATAATCAAGCAGAGACCAAATAGAAGGGAAAATCAAAAAGACTCAATTCATCACTTAATAGACTATCCAGATGTAGGAAGACATAAATCATAATAAGCTAAGCTTTGCCTCTGTGAGGTATAAATATCACTAAGTCTTTGATGAGTATCTAAAACAAAGGATTCAGAACAGATCAGCTGCAGTCTTCTCCCATGCCACACCAATTCCTTTTTATCGATCTTGATGGAGCATTCACTAACTATGAATATCAAAAACAGTCATGTGTGTAATGGTTCTCATCATTTTATTTCTAACAAGATATCCCAGCCTAAGTGGGAAAAAGATTAAAATTCTGCTGATGGGGACACCCAATTCCTGCAAACTATCCACAAAGCCAGTCAGACAACCACTGCTGCAACAAAGGAGCTTTGGTACACCTTTGTGTATCAAAGATTCAGGGAACCAGATTCCAGAAATGACACAGTGTATTTCACATAACATAGTGGATGGCAGTCAATCCCTATCAGAATTTAAAATTATATAGTAAGGGCAAGGCCCTGTAACGGCTAGGGAGAAGAACAGCACTGTTAATTCAAGATCTGGGGAAGAGAATGAAACAATCAATTTTTAAAAAGCAGAGACGATACCAATAATATCTCTTCTCTAAAAAAAAATCAATAAATTCTCACAAAATGCCAAGGAGCAGCCACTGGCAATTTTTCTGTGACTTCAAGTAATATCCACTTGCCAATATGGTTATCAAAAACATTAGGCCAAGATGGTGTTCAATTTCTACTTTTACAATGGAATCATTATTCAGGGAAAAATATCTTTTCAGATTACTAGACAGTACTTTTTAAAAATATTTTTAAATATCATTTTCTATTTTGCTCTTAAAGAATTTACATGAGATACAAAATATTACCTAGATACCTAGCAGAAGTACTAAGAACAGGCCTTCAGGACTCACTTCAAAATTTGATTTTGCCTAAATCAAATCACAGAAGTTCTGCAACTTCACAAGGTATCTACCTAACTTTAGGTAGATATGCTATCCTGAAATACACAATAGTGGTATGCTACTGATTAGGATCCAAAACTGGCAGTGAATGTACTTTAAAATTCCCTTGTATTATATTTCATGTCAAGTAAGTACTTGAATAAAAAATGTGAATGGCTCATCTAGGTTTTGCAGTGTAAAATATCACTTGCCTTAGGTTTGAAGCCCAGAACTCGGTTGAGCTTTATGATGATGCAGGGTTTACCCTCTTTGTAGCCAAAAGTGTCATCATTTTGTCCAGAGCAATTTCCCAACCAGTCAAGCTTGAATCTGCACACCTTCCGCTCTCCACGTTCGTGATTGAAGTCTCCTCGTTCTTTGGGTTCACTGGGCATATCTAAAAGTACAAACATTTTTATATTGTCCCACAGTTTTCTAGACACTGAAGGACAGCAAAAGGAACCTTTCACAATTTTTTTTTCTTGCCACAATTTCTTATGACAGTGCTACTCATTAATGCATCTTCCAAACTAAGCAAGGATTTCCACCAAGCTGTCCCTCATCTCTGCAGAGGGTGAAAAATGATACTCTATCAAAGGCAATAGGTAGTATATGACCCCACATGGAAGGTGTGTGGTACTTCTTGATGAACGTGTATTTGGTCTCTGGTAATATCTCTTCCTGTAAATAATGGATTGAGCAGCTATTTAGAAGATAGAAAGGAAACTGGATCCTCCTTTCTGAGCAGCAGCATTTCTACAGGCCAACATTGGCTTAGCTCACTGACAGAAAAATTGTAGTTGAAATAAAAATGTTAAAGATTGTTAACAAGTTTTCCAACGAAGTTTTTAGCCTGAAGTTTCTGTGGAGCTATGCCCCGATTATCATGTTAAATAGTAAAGGAGGGAAGAGAAATAAGAATTTTGCCTTTGAAAGCTGCAAGTTCATATTTTGTTATAAGCATTTATCAAACTGAAAATTTTGCTGTTATTTGTAATTCACATA